TCAGCTATAATTTACGGTTAAAGTGTCGAAGATTGTAGAAGTCATCAAGTTAAGCTTTCAGTACAATGAACTCATCAAAATCTGACAATAATCTGACCAGTATATTTTTAAAATAACTTTAACTTTATTAGGTCATTGTTATAACATTTTAAAATTAGTTCTTTATTAATGAAATAAATATACATACGATTCCCATTTAAACATTAGAAACATGAATTTCAGAGAAGCGATCTTTTTCCAGAGAATTTATTTCCAAACTGCGCAATCACATATATATGGAATGATAAATGATGTGTGTGTATGCACAGACAAAAGTCTTGGCAATGGATTATAATGTGAATGGAGAAAATAATTAAAATGTTTTGTTACAATAATTACAGGTAATAGTGGAGTGAAATGGAATGACGTGGTGTCAGAAACAGTGGTGATTAAAATTATGAGTATATGAAAAATAATTAAAGAGAAATGGGGACTTTATCGAATATGAAAATAATAATAACAGTTTAAGACCATGGTAACGATAAGGATAAGATGTAATTTATTTGTATGCACAGTTATTGGTTAATCTCAGGGATAGTTAGAGTCATATTTGTTTTAATGAGTTGGATGCGAAGATATCTAGGTAGATTTGAATAAATTTTATAAACAACCTTAAAAGTAACTTGCAGATAAGTGGTTTGACTGAAATCAACTAAATGTTAAGGAATGGAACTTCTGACTGCTGTCCTCTCACTACTGTAGCATCACACTTAGACATGTTCTTGTATTACAGTTGAAATCAAGCTCTAGTTAGGGTCTATGTGTCTTGCTACACAAGAGCGGTTGAATCGGTATATGTACATAGAAGTGGTTCGACGAGGAAGCTTAGGCTTTACGGATACAGAAACCAAGTTTCTACCAGTAGACGTTATTCACAGTTTTACTGTAGAAAACGTTCATTTTATCGATACCCTTAACTGGTTTGTATATAAATCAGAAGAGAGAAACGGACCTAATGGATTTCTTTTTCCAAATTCCTTTTATGTTCGTCATTGTGGAGCGGCAAGGGTAACCGCTTTCAGGCAATGTTTTTCTGGAGGAATCCAAGTTCATTATCAATCCGTTCATTGCTACATACGTTTTGTTTGTTTACTGTACAACGATTCACCACTCCTCTTTTTCATGTCCTCACGGTATTAATACTTTTATAATTCCGTATTTTCGCATATATATATATTTACGATTGTACAATTCGATAAAAATTTGTCGGAAATAGATTTCTTTGCGAAACGTCGTGTTTTTACATAAATATGTATCCTAGTTGAAGGATTTGTAAAGAATAGAATAATGTGGTTGATGTGAACCTGCTTATAAAGCTACTTTGTAAATGTAAAAAATTTAATTCCAATATCTAAAGCAAACATAAATGATAGACTCTAGTAGGAAATGAACGCACAGTTCTTGCATACTTTGATTACGGTGTTTAACAATGGCTTAGGTTATAAAATTCGTTGAATCTTTCGAAAGCATTCATTATTTTATTATATGCTTACGAAACTATTTTCACGCACAATTCACTGTTTATTAAGTCTGACAACTATATTTTAGATCAATAAACTTTACCTTAAATAAAACAAACGTAAACAGAACGTGATCAAGTTACATTCAATACTGTTTCATACTCTGTGAATGAATTTCTAGATTAACTTTATATTATTCACTCACTCACTTTCCTCTCTCTTATAATGTGTAATTCAAATCATTTTGTGTTGAAATAACATCATTGATACTAAACTATCCACAATTCATTGATTTTCTTCATTGCCAATGTATGAATTCGAATGTTTCGCTACATTCTCTGTGTTTTTCTGTCAAACATTTCGTGACAATAAAATTATCACATGTTATTCAATTGAAATAATAATCAAGTTATATAAATTTTTAACAAGAAGCAATCATAATCAACCATTTAATTGAATTCATATGAATCTTTCGTTTGTTTTAACGAGACAGTAATTACATTTGACAAATTGTTTTCTTTTCTCTTTTTTTCTTTATTTTTTATAAACGAATAGATTATTTCTAGTTTACTTATTCTTTTAAATCTATTCTGTTATGTTATAAATGACATTACATTATATGATACTAACTTGTTAAACTATATAATTTTACATTTGAAAATCATTTGATTGTTGGATTATATAAATTGGTTATTAAAGATATGGTTAAATATTGCTATCATTTATCTTGTTGAAAATATAAAAGTGATTTTTTCAGTTATATGCAATGTTTCCAGGGAAAATATGTTTTTTTTTTAAAAGAAAAAGAAATCTTATTACATGATTAGAGAATAGTTTATGCTTAGGTGTAATTGGCAGAAATATTAATGTGGTGATAATAAAGTAAAATTTATAAACGTTCACTTATTTCATGAATGAATTTGTGTGATAATATCCTTTTCATAATGACTAAATACTAAAACAGTACTTCAGAAATTTAAAACAGTGGGAAAATTTATTAAAGGAAATAAATTTTGATTATTTCTTAGTTTACATCCACTTGTTATATATTTCCGTGTTGAATGTGAGATAGTTATCCACCTCAGACAACGGATGCAACGTTGCGCAAGTTCATCTATCTATTGATGTTAGATATTAACATTGTTGGATGATGGATCAGTGATCTAGAGGTGAGGCATTCGTGCGCGAGACCTAAGGTCTTGGGTTTGAGTTCCATGTGAGGTATCGTGGATGCGCACTGCTGAGGAAACCTGTGCTAGGACGAGAAGGCCATATGGTGCTTCCAGGTTTTTAACAGTAGTCTAGTTTACATTGTCTGATGAATTCAACTGTTACATTATGGTAAACTTAAGCAATAATCAGCTAAAGGATGGATACTAACAAATTTTTCATAAAATTATAAGTTGATCTCAATTTTATGTCAAGCAGACAGAGCTACTGACTATGTTTTTCAAAGTTGGACCTATCATTGGAACAGGTCATAGGAACGACATTTAAATAGCTGCTTAATTAAAATTGGACCGAATACCGAGTATGCGTGTTTCGTCCTTTTTAAGACCCATCAGTTGGATTTGTGGAGTAGCGTTACCCACTTATCTACTGAGTCCTGAAATCCACTGACTTGTGAAATAAGGCAAATTATAATTTTTAAGTATTGGCTGTTTTAATTTTTGAAGCGATGTTTTGAACTGGAAACGATCAGTCTTTTTTGGCATATGTGCATGCTAAGCGTTCGCTTCTGTATTGCCATCAAGTCATAAAGATACTGAGTAGAGTTGAATAGTGGCTATCAGTGCAGTCCTTCCTATTTAAAATTCGTCATTTGGATGAAAATGCATTTCGGAGTTGATGTTAAGTCAAGGACTCGGACCTTCAACTGTATATTGGACGTGAATTCCTGTTAGTCAACACATAAAGTTTTAATACTCAATGAAATGGTGTTAAATCGGATTTGGTGCATCAAAGTACTTCAAATCACAGATATATCCTATAGAATTGCCATTTAGTATGATATCCGAAATCTTAATTTCTTGCAATTTGTTTTCCAACCAACTAAGATCTGAAGTAAGATGTCACACAATGTACGATTGCTTAATGTGCTGTGCAAATCAATAATCAACCTATAATTTGGAACATCTCTAAAATATAGCCTACATGACATTTGCTATTACTAGGTGGTTTCTGTATATTTCTTTTACGAGCATCGATTCATTCAACATTTAATTAATTAACAAATGTTGTGAACTTATTTTCGATTTATTACATTCTTGTATCTTGATAAATAAAAAAATTAAGTTTCCATTTTAGTCATCCCGTTGGTAACTAATGACTGAAAGGTACAATAAAAGACAAATAAACTATTATATAAAAGTTCATTAACTCATATATTTAGTATTTATTTTATGTAAATTACATAAAAATTTCATCATTTTGCAAATAGACTATTTAAGTGTAAGAAATAAATCTCAAATGATGAAATTAACTTTTTATTAATAAAGTAATATAATTCATTTTTACCCCCCACTATATCCTATTTACTTTAATTTACTACATGAAATCAGTACTATTCATAAATGATATTTAGTTTATGAAATCAATTTGTTAAATGATTAATTCATTGTCAAATACTTCAACAACAAAAAAAGTTCTTTGAAAGCTACAAATTTAAATTCATGGTAAACTTCAGGTACATTTGTCTATTTTATAGAATAATTACAAGGAAGATATTTTATTCTTAAACAATATTTCTTTAATATTTTTTTCCTTCCTTTATTATTCTACACAAACTTTTAGTTAAATCAAATATTTCAAGTTTAATTAATGTGTTCATTAAGTTAAATTGTTCTTAATCACTGTCAAATGAAAACAATTCATATGTGTTCAATAAATCTATTTCAGATCTAATTTAACTGATCAAATAAAATAACTGTGCAACAAAAGGTAGAGTAACTAGCAAATACACTGAAAACAGATACATTCAAAATTAAATTCTATGAGTTTCTTAACTAATTTGCATATAAAATAACCCACTGAATTATATATATATATATATATATATATATATATATGGATAGATAAAGAGTATAAAACATGACCGTATTTGACCGATCAGACTAAGAATAACATAGTGTTTAATTCTCTAACATTCTATTGGATACCATCAAGTACATAAAATCGATTCTCTTCAAAGAAAAAGGCATAATATTCGAATGGTTTATTTTCTAAATGAGTCATTGAACTAATGGAATATAAAACCTGTACATCTACTAGAACAAAAGTAAAATAATCAAATTGTTATAATTATGAAGACTATTTAAATAATGAAGTTTGGATAAAGTTATTAATACTGTAGATATACTTAATAAACAATTAAAATAGCATTTAGTAAACAAATATTATAGAACAGAATTGATTTATTATTTTAACTATTTATCATAGTTTGAAAACAATGAATATTCATGTTGTGCCTAAAATCCTTTTTCCCAATAAAAAATATTATAGATTATCACCAACACAAGTATCACAAACATTAACAATGACAACAGAACAACAACAAGAAGATAAAACAATTAAAAATTCCGATGAACCTCAACTAGATACTAATAAAGAAGATGATAACTTTTTGAATATTCAAAAGTTAGTGAAGTTGAAACTGTTTCAAAAGACAAATTACCAAATTCATTATCACAAATTTCAGTTAATACTCAACCATTGAATGATTATGATAAATCACAAGAGGCAACAAATTCAACAGGTAAGCAATACAAAGAATAATTGTTAATTATTTAACATATTTTATAGTCGATTTATTCATGTATAAAATAACTATCACCTGATTACATTTTGTTACGATTGATATTCTTTTTCACCATACTGATATACATAATGTCATGGGCTGATATCATTTATCAAAAATAAAAATGAATATCAAGTTGCTATTTTGTCTTGGTTTGATTGACGTATCTGTTATTTCATCCGTAATCGGAGTCAGGATATTCCTATTTTATAGTGAACACAATAGCTTTAGGTTATCGAGTCGATTTACACTCGAATCATTCTATCAAACATGACATTCGTAAACAGTTGGACGGTAGAAGCAAACGTTGTTTATTTATCAACAGTAGATACAAGCTTAATCTAATTCAAATCGTATATATGTGTATCTGTGATTAACGTGAAATAAAAAGCTACTTAACTGAACTAGTTATTGTCAACAAAAACTAGCTACACTTAAACATGTGTGGTCAACTACCTGCCATTATTTCTAGCACTGTAGAATTACACCCTTGTAACAAATGAAATTTTAAAATGTGATATTAGAAAATCATAGAATGCTAATTACTTTTTGGAAATAAACAAATGCGTTGTCTATTGAGCAGCCCTTCTTTAAGAAATAGATATATATGGTGGTTACTTTGAAGCTTAGTAAATATTCATCGAGTACAAAGGCTAAAGAGGCAAGCTACTTTGTATGGTACTTCGATGTTTAATAACAAATTAGGAGAAAGTTGAATTTTTACTTTATTATTGTTGATAAATTTTCATCGAGTATGTCAAACATTCGGAAGTATTTATATATTGTCGACATTATATATGGTTATATTTGTTATAACTTGTCGTTTGAATGCTTATTGTCTTGGCTCTTCCAATGCTACTTTTTAAATCTGGTCATCGCTGATTGTTATGTCGGAAACGCCTGTAACTTATACTCGGAACGACGGACCTCTGCAATTCCCACGACGCGAAAGTAAGAACACAAAGACTGGTATAAGTGATGATTTATTAACCCAAAACACTATGACGACGACAACAACTCTAGTAGAAAATACACTCATTTATATATTGTTTGTACACCCATTTTGATTAATAATTAGGATGCAATCACATATATGAAAAAATACTTCGAGTTATAACAAATCCCATACTGAGCATAGTTCATGTCAGTGGGATAGAAGAATATCGCATTTTATACAGAATAAAATATCATACGAGAAAAGGAAATAAATAATACATTGAGTAATCATTACATTGAATCGAAACGGAAATAATCTTGAACAAAACTCATAATGAGTAAATCAATCGAAAATTGAATTTTCTTTCCATCATATCAATATTCAACATTATAATTCACGCATTGACATATGTAGTTCACATGCGACTGGTTAGGCGACACAAATAATTCACAGCCGTTCGACATGAAAATATTGTTAACTTGGGACTAAATCACTTAGATTAGTGGTTACACGACTCTTAGATTAGTCTGATGCAATCAGGACGAAACACTTTATAAACATGAATGTTAATTGTCATTAAGTAATCAATCGCTATCTGATGATTAACTCATAGTAAAAATAATCAAAATTCGCATTAAAAATAAGAGGTCCTCTTTATTGTGGTTAATTTAACCTAAACATAGACTATTTTAAATACATTTAAAAAAGAAATATTTATAATAAGTCATGACAATAACTTCTTAGAACGTAAGATTCATCGCACAAAACCTATAAACTTTTGTTTGTTGTGATTCTGAAAAAGTGACACATGTATTATGTCGACTTAGACAGATTGCGAGATTTACTTAGGACATAAGTAACAACTTTATTAAATAATCAGCAAACAGAATGCACAGAAACAGTCAGTGAATCATCACTGTCATGTCAGTTGGTACAATGGTTTCTGTGCTTAAGCAATGTTACGTTAAATTCTAGATTAATTAGACTGATTAGATTAGTCGGTGTTAACTGACAATATTTAACAGCTAACTTTTCCGCTTTAAAACTTTTTGAAGTACAATCAATCTTGGCTTAGTTACTTTATCCTTCATAAATTAAAACAGAATGTAATGCAAAGATCATTTTGATGTATTTGACACAGTCTGTTTAAGCAAAATATTTCGATCAGTTTGATCAAACAATTGAATATCATGATGTTTTATGTTAGAAATGAACAAAGGTTAATTCAGTAAATAAGCCATTATATAGGAGAGAAATAGTTCATATTATCACAAAACTCATATCATATATCCAAAATACTTATTAGAATAATATACATAATGGATTATCAGCGTGGGTTAAGCATGGCACCTAAATATTTTTAGACTTATTGACAATTTTTTTCATGATAACCGCTCCTAATAACCTACAAATAACCTCCTGATAGTTTTAACACAGAATCTTAAGCCTGCCTTAAGGTCAATTAAATGACTTTCCTTAGAATGTATGTTTGGCTGTCGATAACCATTTTTCTCAACCTTTTATTAAACCTGAATTGTGATTTAATCAAAATTTAAAGTTGGTTCACCATACTTTTTATCAGTCTCAATTCCATGAATTGCTTACATCACTTTGTTTATAGACACTGACAAAAAATCATGATTATAATAGGTTATGACTGAAACATATTGAGTGAAGTAAAAATCAATTTTCTAGAAAATATTTATAAACAACACTTTGTTAATGAAGAACAACGTTATTTAAATTAAAGTAATGTAGAAAGGCTGTTCTTGGCTTTCCATTTAGCATCAACGAACAATACGATACCAAATTTTCTAATTTAAATATCTTCCTATTTTATCGTCTTTGATATCAACTTCTAACGTTTAATTAATACAATTTCAGTCAACTCATAAATGAAACGAAAAAAGATTAAGTTCGTTAGTAGGTATCGATACCAAATGGGTGGAAAGTTAATAATAAATATATTTTTGTGATATTCTGACGAGTAGAAAACTGTATTTCTGATGTTTCGTAACTTAATGTCAGTCGTTTCTTCAGAGAACGCACTGTGTTTCTTATTCGCCTATTCAGTAATCAGAGGTCAGATTCAATAGGTCTTTCAAGAAATTCATTATCAATATGGCTGATTAGAAAATAGTTCAGTATTTATTTCTCAGCTTTAATATTCTCTCATTTACTAAAAATTGATCATTTAACACACCTTTACATAATTCTATTTATGTATTGCCATGATGGAGGTAATTGCTTATGGTAAGTACGCATTAAAAGAGAATTTAAAGTATGTTTAAAAAATATTTTAGGAAAATGAATTATAATCTATGCCCATGAAAACGTTTTGCTAATAGTTAAGTACTTAGATACAAATACTTTTTTCAAGAATCGCATAGCTGAAGCAAAAATGAATTAATCGTTTTTTCATTAGACTGACAAATGGTATGGTAGGTGTTGTTAGTAATAAATATAGAATTCAATCGTGTGTGTATAGTGAGTTAATTTTGGTCTCGATAGATTGAATATAGGTTTTTGATTATTGGAATTAAATTTTTATCATTTACTAGATAAGTAATTCTGAATAAAGCCTCAGAGAGATTATAAAGTTTTACTTAAGTTAGTCATAACCAAGTGATATTTTTTAAAATTGAAAAACCTTTGCCAACATTTCAACTGAATTTAGATTTTCACTGAGCAAGATCGAACTTATGTATAGTGTAATAATTGTTAGTCTTATATGGTATTTTAGGACATTTTAAATAAACAACAATTTTTGAGATGTTATAATCAAATAACTAATCCATATATTATTGTTTGTTGGCCGATTAAAAAACATCTAACGAGTAACTATTAAGTAATTTTGAAGAAATCCATTGGAACCTTCATCAGAAAATGAAAAAGCAATTGCTCGCCTACATTTGGGACTCTAATTTATTTATTCTGTTGTCGGGAATAAAATGTTTATATTTGGTACCAGTTAATTGCAATCGATACCGATTAGTAAACAACATAAATTTCTATTTGAAGAACAAAACTAGTGAGTTGGATCAGTTGTAGCATTACCATAAAGAATTAAAATGATGAAAATGTATGTGAGTGTATGATTGATATTTACAAAGTATTACAATCGATACAGAAATCGATGTTCAATTGTGAATTCATTGTAATAAACATATTCGCAGAACATAGAATATAAAGGATTTTACTGCTTTTAAAATTGTTATTCACCATAATTTGGATTTGATAATTATAGTTTTAAATTAATGAGTTTCAGGTAAATAAAAGAGAAAGTGTTTTAGAATAGACAAATTTTTCAAACGTATAAATCTTTCTTTTAAATTTCACACGGCCTGATCATTATTATATTAACTAGTGAAACATCTGTAAAGTTAATATATAGTTGTGGTCGATTCTTCAGTCGAATACTCATATTAAGTGTGGAAGAAATCAGTATAACAGACTGAAGTCGCAAGTGAACCTTTTACTGAATTCATTTAGGTTTGTATAAATTTTGTTCACAACTTTCAGTATGGTTGTTCTTCACTTCCTTAGCTTATCGATGATAAAATAAGTGATTTTTTTAAAACACTATTTCACCCATTTGAAATCATCATGATTGAACACTTGAGGTAATACACATTCAGTTCTCTTTTTAACGTTAGATTTTATGTGACTGAAGAATTGTTAGTGTGTATCAGTCACTATAAACTGTAAGTTCGCAGGTTTCTTTTAACTAATGTTAACCTTCTATTATATAAACACTTTTCATATCATAATTCATTCAGCTGTTACTTACGCCTATTACTCCTCATGGAGGAACATAAACCTCTCTTCAGCATTCATTAAGTTGTACTGAAAGCAACAAAAAAACAAATAATACAAATCAGTTTGTACATTATGTTCTATTAGTATGTTTCTTACCTATTATTTATAAAACGAAGATATGTTAGTTTGTTAGAATTAGATAAACAAATTTGAATATTCATTTTGTGCACTACTCTTTACCAATAATATAATCATCAAAATG